TGGTTACAAAGAAGCCAAACTGTCACTGTTTGCAGATGACATGATACTGTATGTAAAAACCCTAAAGAATCCACTCCCAAACTACTAGAACTAATATCTGAATTCAGCAAAGTTGCAGGATACAAAATTAATACACAGAAATCTGTTGCATTCCTATACACTGGCGATGAACTGGCAGTAGGAGAAATCAGGAAAACAATTCTATTCACAATTGCATCAAAAAGAATAAAATACCTAGAAATAAACCTAACCAAGGAAGTGAAAGACCTATACCCTGAACACTACAAAATACTCTTAAGAGAAATTAAAGAGGACGCTAATAAAACGGAAATTCATCCCATGGTCTTGAATACACAGAATTAATATTGTCAAAATGGCCTTCCTGCCTAAAGCAATCTACAGATTCAATGCAATCCCTATCAAAATACCGACAGCATTCTTCAACGAACTGGAACAAATAATTCAAAAATTCATATGGAATCACAAAAGACCCTGAATAGCCAAAGCAATCCTGAGAAGGAAGAATAAAGAGGGGTGTATCCCACTTCCCATCTTCAAGCTCTACTACAAAGCCACAGTAATCAAGACAAGGACAGACCCACACAGATCAGTGAAACAGAATAGAGTCCAGATATTAATCCAAACATATATGGTCAATTAATATATGATAAAGGAGCCACAGATATACAATGGGGAAATGACAGCCTCTTCAACAACTGGTGTTGGCAAAACTGGACAGCTACATGTAAGAAAATGAAACTGGATTACTGCCTAATTCCATACACAAAAGTAAACTCAAAGTGGATCAAAGACCTGAATGTAAGTCATGAAACCATAAAGCTCTCAGAAAAAAACATAGGCAAAAATCTCTTGGACATAAAAATGAGGAACTTCTTCATGAACATATCTCCCTGGGCAAGGGAAACAGAAGCAAAAATGAATAAATGGGACTATATCAAACTAAAAAGCTTCTGTACAGCAAAGGACACCATCAGTAGACAAAAAGGCATCCCACAGTATGGGAGAATATATTCATAAATGACATATCTGATAAGGTGTTGACATCCAAAATATGTAAAAAGCTCACCCACCTCAACAAACAAACAAAAAATAATCCAATTGAAAAATGGGCAGAGGATCTGAACAGACACTTCTCCAAAGAAGAAATTCAGATGGCCAACAGGCACATGAAAAGATGCTCCACATTGTTAATTATCAGGGAAATGCAAATTAAAACCACAATGAGATATCACCTCATACCAGTTAGGATGACCACCATCCAAAAGACAAACAACAACAAATACTGGCAAGGATGTGGAGAAAGGGGAACCCTCCTACACTGCTGGTAGGAATGTAAATTAGTTCAACCATTGTGGTAAGCAGTTTGGAGGTTCCTCAAAAAACTCAAAATAGAAATACCATTTGACCCAGGAATTCCACTCCTAGGAATTTACCCTAAGAATGCAGAAGCCCAGTTTGAAAAAAACATATGCACCCCTATGTTTATTGCAGCACTATTTACAATAGCCAAGAAATGGAAGCTACCGAAGTATCCATCAGTAGATGAATGGAGAAAGAAGAGGTGATACACATACACAATGTAATACTATTCAGCAATAAGAAAAAACACATCCTACCATTTGCAACAACATGGATGGAGCTAGAGGGTATTATGCTCAGTGTAATAAGCCAGGCAGAGAAAGACAAGTATCAAATGATTTCACTCATCTGTGGAGTATAAGAACAAAGAAAAAACTGTAGGAACAAAACAGTAGCAGAATTACAGAATCCAAGAATGGACTAACAGTTACCAAAGGGAAAAGGACTGGGAAGGATGGGTGGGAAGGGAGGGATAAGGGATAAGTGGAAAAAGGGGCATTAAGATTAGCACACATTAATATAGCGGTGGGGGGTGGGGTACAGGGAAGGCAGTATGACACAGAAAAGACAAGTATTGATTCTATAGCACCTTACTACGCTGATGGACAGTGACCGTAATGGGATATGTGGTGGGAACTTGATAATGGGGGGAGTCTAGTAACCATAATGTTGCTCATGTAATTGTATATTAATGATACCAAAATAAAAAATAAATTAAAGAACTCAAAGAAAAAGAAAAAATAACAGTAACCAGCATAGGAACCATCTGGATAGATGGGCATTTGTTATCTGGGCTTGGAAAAATAACATGTGTGTCTTAGTCTGTGGCTTCCCTGTGAAAAATGTTCAGGTCTGGTTAATGTGCTCCCCGTTTCTGTAACCCTTCCATATAAATTACTTTCTATACTCTATTTCTTTTGAAGGAATCAATTTTAAGCATACAATTAGTTTTGACAAATGTATTCAATCAAGTAACCACCACCACAATCATTAAATAGACCATTTCCATCACCACACAAAGTATTCTTGGCTCTTCCACCATCTGCTGGCCCCTGGCAGCAACTGACCTGCTTTCCATTGCTAGCTTTGCCTTTTCTTTTCACATAAAGTGAATCAATCACTAAGTGGTCTTTTTTATCTTGCTTTTTTCACTTCTTTTATATACATCTATTTTATTCTTTGTATCAGTAGTTTCCCGAGTAATATACCATGATATAAATGTGCTCACATTTGTTTATCCATTCACCAGCTGATGGACATTTGAGCTAATTTTGAGCTATTACAACTACAGATGTTTTGCACATTTCTTATCTGCTCTCTTCTCTTACATAAACACCTAGGAGTGGGACTGCTGGGCCATATAAACCGTATGCTTAACTATGTAAGAACTGCCAAACTGTTTTCCAAAATTACTGTACCATTTTCCATTATCAAGAGGAATATACAAAAATTCTGGTTGCTTGACATTCTTGTCAACACTTGGTAGTTTAAATTTTAACCATTCTTGTTGGTGTGTAGTGCTATCTCACTGTGATTTTAATTTGTATTTCCTTAATAACTTATGCTGTTGAGCATCTATGGAAGTGGTTACTTGCCATCCGTGTATCATCTTTGTGAAGTGCCTGTTCAAACTTTTGTCTTTTCAAAATTGAATTGTTATTGTAACAGATGTATCACACTCTGGTGGGGGATGCTATGCATGTGAGAGGGCAAGGTGTACATGGAAAATCTCTGTAACTTTCCCTCAATTTTGCTGTGAACCTAGAACTGCTCTAAAAACTAAGTCTAAAAAAAACTGAATTGTCTTATTAAGGTGTAAGAGTTTTTTTAAATATATTCTAGCTCAATTCCTTTACCAGATAATGTTTTTAACAGATATTCTGTCACAGCCTCTGGCTTGCATACTCATGTTCTTAGCAGTGTCTTTTGAAGAACATGTTTTTAAAATTTTGATGAAATTTAATTTAACAAATGTTTGTTTATAGTTTGTGAGTTTTTTGTCCTATTTAAGAAATCACTGCCTAACCTAGTCAACAACATCTTCTGTATTTTTTTTTTGGTTCTTACTATATGATTTCATTTTGAGTTAATTTTGTATAATTTCTGTAGAAAGAGTCTGTGTGCTTTTTTTTTTTTCTTGCTTTATTGCATTGGCTAGAATGAACCTCCATTCTATGGAGGTACACTGTTGAATATAAGTGGTAAGAGCAGAAATCCTTGCCTTGTGCAACCATTTCTTAGAGAAAAGCATCAGACTTTCACTAGTAAGTATAATGTTAATGGTAGATTTTTCAGAGATGCCCTTTATCAGGCTGATAAAGTTATTTGCTAACAGTTTTTATCATGAATAAATGTTGAATTTTGTCAAGTGTTTTTTTCTCCCTCTACTGATGTGATCTTGGTTTTTTTCTTATTTTTAGCCTGTTAACATATGAACTACATTGCTTCTATCTTTATAAGTTATGTATTCCTCAAAGTTCAAATCAACTTGATAGAAACTTTTGAGCATTTTGTGAATTAAGGAGAAGTCATGAAAATATACAGCATCAGAAAATCGGTAAAGGTAATCCATCGCTTTCCATATTGGTTCTAATTTGCTGCGTCATGACTCCTTTATCCAAGATGCAGAAGCAAGAAAAGTGAGAACCAAATAGAGATCCTTCACTTAAAGGCTGATGAGCAATGCCACACAGTTAACAATTACAATCATGAGGCCTGATTGGTTAGTCACAAAAACCAATTTCAGGCTGAATCATGAAGGGAATAATAACAACACAGGAATAGGAAGCAAAAGAAGATAATTTGCTAAGCAGGAGAAAAGAAGAAAAATACACAGACAGCTTCTGCTAGTCTGCTCATCCTTGAGTGCACGTGTAAAAACCTCATGAATGTTTGTTTCCTTTCTGATAAAGCTATCATCCACATAAATGCCAATCTCTAACCTCAAAACAATAAAAATACATGGATTATCTTTCTTTTAGCACAACCATAATGGCAACCCACCACTGATCATGCTCTCCCCTTGGAAGTTCTGTTTAGATCCTGCTGTTGAATCAACATGTGGACTTTCAAAGGGCCCAGCGATTTGGGATATCAGCCTTGGTGTGGGTGGGAAGCTCACAGTCCCAGAGCCCAGCAACACTATATAGAGGGGAGATCAAAAGTCTAACTCAAGTACCCCAAATTTATCAGGAGTCACATGTGACTCTTCCTATTATTCGGTAAAGAAAATCTCTCTTGATCTTTAGTACCTCCATGTGTTTCCAAAGAACTGACTCAAAGGTCTCAAATTCCCTTTCAGTCACTGATTGCTTCTCATCCTTAGAAAACTCTGTGTACAAGTACAAGCAGGAAATAAAAGATCCTGTAGTAAAATCATCTGTTTAAAGAAAAAAAAAACCAACTTCCTAAATTAAATGAAACATTTTCTAGATACCAAGCTGAAGGATCAATAATCCAGAACTGGTAACATCTGAGCAAATAAATTCCCTATCAGGGTACTTCAAGAGGCATGTATATATTGTATTTTTAAAGCAAATAACTTAAAAATACTATTTAAGATTCTAGTGCATTCTTTTTATATTATAAACATGATGTACCAAAGTAAAAAATTTACTCACTTGTCTTTTAGCTTCCCTCAGTTTTCTTTTCAGGGCTGTCAAAATTCTTTGTACTTCCCATAATCTTTCTTCTTTAGATAAATCCTTTATCCCACCCTGCAGATCTCTATGTAAACAATTCAGAAGAAACTCCTAGAAAACAGTATACCACATACTGAGTAGTATTCCAGGTCTTATTATCTTAAAGCCACATGCAATTTCAAAAAGGTAAGAACAACTATTTTTCAATTACCATTAAAGGAATGAAATAATGACATGAATTTGTTTTTTGAAGGATATGACTGAAAAATAATTTTTATTTGTTCTGCCTGAGCACTGGTTTCTCATCCATTAATTTACATTGGCACAGTAGTTAATTCAGGTTCCTTCCCCCAACATGTCAACTAATAATAAATGGGAGCTCAGAGCAGATAAAAGGGGAAAAAAGCAAGCAGGGATTTGATAAATGTGTATGCAAATAAAAGGTGTAACAATTATCAAATGTAAGTAGATTTCTCATTTAGTCTTGAATTTCTTATTCAGCTTGCCAAACACACACACAACCAAATGGCTCTGTTTCTTCTGTCAAAGTACCATGGTGGAAAAGCATAGGATTTAGGGGTCAAATTCTGGTTCTATAGCTTAGTAACCACTTTGAAAAGACTAAGTTATTTAACTTCTCCAAATTTCAGTATTCTTGTCTGTCAAATATGGCCAATCAGAGCAAACTTGTCCAAATAAGCTAATGTTTTTGGACTGCTTACAATGAGCCTGGCACCATGCTCAGCATCTTTTATGCATTACTTCATTTATGGTAATCTTCACGTCAAACCTATGAAAGGAACTTATTTTAAAATGGAATCACCAAGGCTTTAATGAGATGCAGTGATTTGCCTATAGTCAGTCTGTTAATTAGAAGCAAAGCAAGAATTTAAAGCCAGGCCTTCTGATTTCAAGATCTGTGCTCTTTCCATGATGATATTCTGACTTAATTGGCATGAAACTGCACCAGATGGAAATTCCTGGCTTCAGTGTGCCATAAAAATGTGCTTAACACATAGCTCTAAACACACAGAAGGTGTTCAATGAACAAGAGTCATCACCATCATCATCGTTAGTCTCCAAAAGTGTCAGAGCAAAGGTTTTAGGGCCAAAGCATACGGACAAACACACACCTGTCTTCTGATCTCCTCTTTGATGCTCTCCTGGGTCTCTGGCAGTGTGGGCATAGTGGCCATGTTAGACCATCGAAGAGGTTTTGTCACTTGCTTTAGTATCACATTTCCAAAGAACTCTTGCACATGTGTGAAAAACACATACAGGACACGATTGCTGATCTAAGGAGAAAAAAATTTAAAAATTTGCAAGAAAACTATTAAAATTATCTTTTTATTTAATTTTTGTGTGTCTATCACAAAGTACATCCTTTAATCCTGGACACATGAATGGAAGTTTTCCTCAGTAGTGACTAGACATGCTTTGCTAATGAGGGGCTAATTTTACAAAGAGAATGGAAGAATATGACCTAAGTCATGTATGGGTAACTCAAGCACTCTTAGGAAAAAGATGCAGAAGCTGACGACCACCAATTTGTTCTTTTTCAGCACTATGATAGTAAGTGATTTAAGAAATCAAGTTATTTTGAGACCCTGTAACACACACAACTGGATGTCCTGAGGAACAGGAAGGAAGAACACTTGCAGTTGGAAAGCTGGGCTGAGAGTGAGAGCCCTCACTCCAGAAACAAATGCCTTCTGGCCACATCTGCACAGCTAGTGTTTAAATACGATGTTCATATGCTAGGAGTTCAGGACATTTGGTTGGCTGAAAAGCTAATAAAAGAAATTATTATCTACCTAAAACTTACTCTTATAACAGTCTTCAATCTTCCATGATACTATCATCCCTAATTTAGTAATATTAAGTAGCGATGTAACATTTACTGAATTCTGAAATCCTGACTTCTATGAATGATCAAATCGAAATTTGAGAAACATTTTGCTTCCAAAATACAATCAATCCAATAAAAGAATCTTTAGTAAAAGAAAATACACTAATAAAAGCATTACTAATAATAACATAGTATACTGGCCAAAAAAGAGTGCTTACAATAAAAAATATAACAAGCATCTCATTTTTTGCCATTTGTGTTTGGCTTGAGTAAAATATCAATAACTCATAAAAGAAAATATATGCTCTTTGTCAATAATAAGTGAGCAGCAATAATGAAAGCCATATATTTATGTTGTAGAGATACCAATGAACATACCACCCAATTCCTTGAAATTACTCCTATAAAATGTTTCTCTGGGATCTACATTTATAAAGGAAACCCTCAGGTTAAATTCCTGGCCAAACAAATAATGCAAGGCCCCTTGTGTCTGAGTCTGATATGTATGTGATATAATTAAGCAACAATGCTATTTCAAGAAGTATCTGAATCTTTAAAAATCCATAGATGAACTCTGTAACTGTGGGTACTGTAGGCTCCTCCTCTACTCATGACAGATCACTCTCATCAGGTACTGGCTTATAAGCCTACACCAAAGATTGTACACACAATATTCATTGCACACAGTTACACAGCTGTACATTGGGAAAGTTACAGCTACAAACTGAAGGACAAATATGCCCATTAGCTTGTATGTTGGCACTGTCCACATTATGAAAGAAAAAGATCAATATTCAGGCTAATCCATTATCTACTTTTGCAGGTTAATTGCTTCATATGCAACTCAGCAACAGGTAATGTTCCCCTGACTCCCCAGGGCCAGCATCAGAGGGCACATGTGCAGAGAAGGCCATGATATACCTGAACGGTTGGGCTGAGCACTATAGAAATATTCTGTATATTCATTTTTGTTTCCAGTTCCTTTGCAATAACATGGTCCATGTGCACGATCAGCCAAGAAATCAGAAGGTAGTTACATTCTGGCAGTTCTTTCAGTAAGCGCTGAAATTCCTGCACTTTCTCACTCTCTGTGCTTCTCCCACACGCCTCTTCAAAGCGGGGCATAAGCTCTTTGGTAAGCAGATTCTCTGGAAGGTCTCGCAAATACTGCTTCAGCAAACTGGCTACAGTGTTAGGCTCATATTCTTCCAAATTTGGAGACTCCTCTCTGTCATAGGCTGCTTTCAGCTCATCCACCTTTGATTTAATTCCTTAAAATATTCAAATTCAGAAGAGAAAAAGAATATCGAGAAAAAAAAAAATCAAACACACAGCTTTCTCCTCTGTTGTACCCACCCCTGGAGGGAGACTTGAGAAGAACCAATCAGACAACAGCAAACCTCTAGCTATCAAGTATTTACCTGCACAGGGTAAATTCCTCTGTAAATAAGACAATATACAAGACTAATGGGTGAATTTAACCAAAAACTAAATGATAATGGAAAAACTCAATATTCAGAACAAAAGTCAGAGCAACCACAGACATATTAAGTAAATATGCCAACCAACTCAGAAAAAGAGTTGTTTTCAATTTAGATAGAACGGTAAAAATTCAGGCAAAACTACAGTCCAAGCAAGGTTGCTCTATAGGAATAGGCAAACTGTTTTTTCTGACTAGTCACAAGACTACCAACATAAAACATAACTCAGAATACATTTACATGCTTCAAAAAGTTGTGGGTAATTACTTGTAAGTAAAAATTGTACCATAAATGCAAAAGGTGAGTCTGCTATCTAAACACATTCTGAAAAGTATTCTCCATTAAATAACCCCCATCTAATTTCTATTTTTAAGTTTCAATTATTTATATGTTTTCTTAACCTGGAACAGAGCTGGAACAAAAAAAAAGTGAAATTTGGATTTCTAAAATCAAATTGTTTGCTTTTCTTACTAGACAGAAAGAAACACTGACAGAGTTGTTACTCTGAAATTATTATGAAAATGTTTTCCTTTTAAGAACTGGACTCTTCCAGTAAGGCATCCCAGGACATACTGGTTTTAAAACTGGAACATATATATAAATAACTGAGAATCAAAAACCTCCAGCAGAATTAAGTATTATTAGCATTCAAAAAGAAAAGTCACAGCCATAAACTCTGTAATCCACAGTGTGTCTGAATGCAGCATACTGCCAGGGCCTAAAGAAAGAAAGAAAAAATTTATCCAAGTAAGAGCATGGCCTTGAGGAGTCAATGCTCAGGTGAAGAGCTCAGTCTGAATGCTGTGACACACACATATGACGCAAAGTTCTGCTATGAGTCCACAAAAGAGTGCAAACATGAAAAATAGACCAAAGACAAAAGAATCCTTTGAACAAAGCTGTAGAAACTCTTCTGAGAAACTTTCTTCTAAAAACAAAATTTCTTCATGCCTATCAAAATCATGTGAGAGAAGCAGCTATGTTAGTGTTATTTAAATTTTTAAAAATCATTCATTATAAATCATTCTTGAGTCAACTTCTCAAATTCATTTAAGTGTGTTTATTTCTATGTAACTAAGGAGTTATAAATTGAAATTCAATACTTCATTTATTTCATTTTCTATAAAATAGCATTTTAGCCAAAATTAAATGATAACATTTATCTATGGGGATTATGTAAAGGTTCCCCAAATTATCAAAAATGCCTACCCTTCTCAATCTTAAATACCAAATCTACTTTCTAGAAATGTATACGAACCAATTAAATGGAAGAACTAAGTAATCTTCCTTTATATTTTAAATGTGTATGATTTAACTCATCATGAAAGTATATATGACCAACAATAAATTTTATAAAATAGATCTTTAGTACCAAGAAACTAAATTATGAGAATGTAATGCTTTGGAACACAGATGTTGCCACAGGTCAGGACTTTCGTCCTATACCAATACAAAAGTCATACTGCTTGGTAAGAAATAAAATACTTTTACTTTAAATAGTATACATTTTGCTTAATTTCAGATACCCAATATGATTTACATTCTTTCCAAGTATGAAATTCAAATTTTCATACACGTGGAACACGTGTATAATTGGAAAACCAATTTCACTAATATATGTAATAGTTGCACATGGCTGACAGAAGCACTCACATTTGGGGCCTAAACAGTTAGCAAATAACATTTCATGCCTCTTAGCTGAACCCAGGAAATACATTTTATGATTGTGCCAATGAAAGTATTTCTAGGCCAAGAAGCATCCTTAACTCAGATGTCCATCCTTCTGCTATCTCCCTCATAACACTGAACCTCTGCTCAGAGAGGAAAGGAGGTGAGAAGAATAAAGCAGGGTCTGAGCTCACCCAAGTTTAGGGGACACATTCATACGTTTTGCTTAGACTCATTCTGGGCTGCTGCAAACTGTGAACAACTCGTATAAATTCATCAATGGAAGGAACATCATAAAAAAGCAAACTGCCAGCATGCGCGTGCACACACACACACACACACACACACACTGTGGCAGATTTTTGTTCAACTGGAAGGATCAAAGAAATGAATAAGGCTTAGGACCCATGTCACAATTTTCCTCACAAGTTAGTATTTTTTCCTTCCTTTGAAAAATAACAGTGAATTTTAAGGGAAGTGGGTGTCCCCAATACCTGAAACTCGGTAGATGCCTTCGCACTTCATGCCATACTTCTCTACGTAATCCACACACTCGCGGAACACCGCTGGCAGCCCAATGCCATCATACATCATGGTCCTCTCTGCCGCATCAGCCAAAGGAATCCCAAAAATGGGTCTGAGATTCGGAACATCAATCTGAGGCACCTCTGGCTCCTGAATTGGCTTCTTCTTTTTCTTCTTTTCCTTCCACTGCTTAACAACATCAGCTGCTGTCAAGTCTTTTGACTTCTTCTCTTTATGTTTTTCCTCTTTGTGCTTTTCTTCTTTATGTTTTTCCTCTTTGGGTTTGTCTTTTATTTTAAAATCCTTCTCTTTCTTTTTAGAAAAGCTGGGTTTCTTGAAAACATGGATTCCCTTGGACCTCTTCATTTTGGAAGGACTTTCAGCTTCATCCCCAGAGCTATCTTCCTGAAAGGCAGCATAGCCTTCAGCTGCCAAAGAGATGCAGGCAGTGTAAGTTTTATGTTTGTTTGTCGTCAAACTGCCCATATGCTTTCTGAAAACAGAATCAAAAAGAAAAAAAAAGTGCTACCTGGCACTAACTACCTAGCTTTTCACTTTACAGCAATCCCTCCTGGGTACTCCCCAGCAATGAAATGGGCTTCTTTTCAGCTAAAAAAATGCTGCAACAACATGTCTGGACCACAAGAGGATGGCATGCAGAGAACCAGTTATATCCTTGCAGCTGGTTTTATTTTATATGTTACGTGGAATTTTGGTAACTAAATATCATAGACACAAAAAAGGCTCTACATAAAGGGCTAATGGAAATAATCATTCTCTAGAATAGAACATTCTTTCAGCACGTGAACAATGTCCTCTACCTTTGTTACTTTACTTAGCTTAGATCTTTTCAATTTTTCCATTTGGTCTCTGTAATTTGCGGCAATCTCAAACCATGACACAACTGCAGTGCTGTTTAGATGCTCCAGTCATTCCCCTATCACACTCCATTCTCCTGTCACTAGCTGTTAAGTTCTTTCTGGAGACTGCAGCAAGGACTGAAGCTTCATCTGGTTGCAGGACAGAACCAGGAAATTCCCTATCTCTGGATGGTGGCCAAATCCATCAGCCTACTTCCTTGTAGCAGAAGCCCTGGTTTTCACACAAAGACAATTGCTTTATATCATATCAGAGTTATCTTTAGTTTTGTTGTTTTTTATTATCTACAACTCTCCTTTTCTTTAGCCAGTTGCCTTATTAACTATCTTAAAATTAAACATTTAAAGTATTTCATAAATTTCCCTCTAATAAAAATACCACAAACCACACACCAACCAGAACAGCAGAAATCTTTAGGAGCATAATACCACGATGTAAAGCAACTGGAGTTCTGAGGCACTGCTGGTGGGAGCATAAACTGGTACAACCACTCTGGAAAACTGTTTTACAGGATCGATTTATGCTAAAATAAGCATGTTCTATTAGTGAGCAATCCCACTCCTAGCCATATACACAACATAAATGCACTAACATGTACAACATAAACACATACAACAGAAACACTGTTAGTAACTGAAAACAATGACCAGTAACATTAATGCAATGAAACAAAATCTAGCAAAAAAAAAGAATAACTGGATAGAATAACTGGGTGAATCTAGCAAACATAACACTGGGCAAAAGAAACTAGACACAAAAGGAAATATGCTTCCATTTATGTGAGTTCAAAAATCAGGCAGTATTAAGCTATGCGGAGAAAAGCCTACCTCTGGGAGGGGTGGAGGATTCCCTTTGAAGGGACAATAAAAGGGAATTTCTAGGGTGCTGATAATGCTCTGTTTCCAGATCCTTGCAATAATTACACAGGCATATCCATTTTGTGATAACTCAACAAGTTGTACACTACTTGTGCATTCTACCTTAACATTACGCTTCAAAACAAAGTAACTTAAAAACATTGTGAAACTGAAAATACAGCAATATTTAACTGAAAATAACTCAACTGATTTGCTTTTAACACACCAAAGAGCTATGCTCAAAAAATTCATCCTCCCTACTTAACAGGAGCTATAAATGGAAAGCGTCAGGGCATTCGCTTAAGACAAATGAATAACGACTTTCTTTACAGCTCCAAGAAAGTGTACCCAATGGCTTATACAATCTAACCAAGAAAGTAAGATTCTATAAGGGTAAAATTCCAACATCTACTTTTTATATTTTATTTAAAATGACCAATTTAACAAACTTCCACCAGAAAACTACCACTTCTGCAAAATTTATTTGTGAGAGTAAAACCCTAAGACAGAATTCAAGTATACAAATATCAAGACCTTGAAACATTAAGGGAACAGCAAATGTCAAACACACATCTTTGATTGGATTTATTTCCAGAGGATAGGAACATGTGATTAGAGCAGAAGTTTATCTAAAATATATCTAAAGCACAGAGAAAAATGGCACTTACTCCTTTTCTCCTTTTTCTTAAACTTTCCTTTTTTCTTCCCATGGTCTTTCTCATCATCAGACACTATATCGGGAGGCTCATGGAGGCTATCATGGGGAGGCGAGGGCTCACCAGTGCGGTACAAACCAGGAAACTTTGTAGGGCTTATCTCCTCAGAGCTGGGGGTTCGAGTAAGACCACTGCCATGCTCCACCCTGCGGTGTTCACTGGGGCTGCTGGTGGGTGGCAGGAAGCACTCGGTCATTCTGCCTCCCTGATGAGACGGTGAGAAGGTTTCTCTGTTACCTATCCATTACAACTGCAGAGAGGGAAAGAGATCATCACCACCACCGAAACACAAAAGCACCATGCACACACAAAACACTGCAATAAACTTGCATTTACAAATCAGAAGTATTTTTCCTCCAACCCCTTTAATGATACTCATTCATTATATCATCTCAAGTTACATTCCATGCACATTTCAGTTCTCAGTGGAAAGCACTGGGATCTTCAAGTATTAGAAAAATAAACCAAATGAAAATCAGTTCTTAAAGTAGCATACAGAGTTCCTTTTAAAAAGAACTCACCATTTTAAGGGGGTTCATTTTTATTGCTATCCAATACAAAATCTTACTATTTTTCTTTAAGTTATGGCCAAACAACTATAAATAAGAAATTACATGGAGTATTTATATAACAAACATGAATAGTCCGGTATAATTAAAATGTACAATACGGTTAAAGCAATGTATCTGATGATCCACACAATTATAGATCATCAAGTAGTTTTTTTGTTGGGCAGCTGCATCTGGGAGGTCTCTCCCTGTGTACTAGGTGGAACCTCAGCCTGGATGGGGGACAGTTCTTGACTGATCAAGAAAGAATTCTCAACAGATCAGTGGAGTGTAAGGAAGAAATGAATTCATTAAAGTGAGAGTAGTAGTGAATGGCAGCAGCCATGCAGGCAGCAGGGAGCAAGGAAGAGCAGAGGGAGAAAAGGGAACTTCACTGAACTCCTGCTCAGCACAGGGCAGATCCCTTGCCAATTCCTGAAGCCAGGGTCACCTGGCTTCCAGTCCGCTTGAATCTGTGTGAATAAAATGAAGGTTCGTGTGGCCAGGATTCTTGCCTGGCCCTGGTTGGCTAGCTCACGGCACACGTGTGGGCAGTGCATTGTTACTGGCCTCGCCCAGTGCTCCGGGAGACACAGTGGCACGGCTGCAAGGCTGCAGGAGAGGAGAGCAGAGCAGAGGCTGGAGTGGTGGCAGCGCCAAGGACAGAGGCCCAGAGGACAGCTGTGTGGGCAGAGAGGCCCAAAGGCAGAGGCCGGCTTGCTGCATGCAGACTTGCTCTGAGTGGGATTTTAGTGACTGACCTGCCCCATAGAAATAAAGTTGGGTATAACCTTTTCACCTCACAAACATTTCCTTTGGTCACATTGAATCCATAGTGAACTTGCCCAGGGCTGAAACCCATTGCGCGGTAACTAAGCCCCTACAAACCGAGGATTAGGGGGAGCTGCAGAACACTGGATAGAGTGAGATTATGTTCAAAGAACTTCCCAAACGCAAAGAAAGGAGATTTTCAGTCAGGTTACTAAAGAGCATGATCATACAGCTGCAGTCCTGGTCCAGGTCACCCAGGCAATAGGAACTTGCAAGCCCAAATCAAAGATCTTAGTAGCCCTTCCCTACTTGTCTGAAATAGGACAGAGAGAGAAGACTAGTGATTAAGTCTAGAAAAATGAATGAAATAGCAAAGTAACAAAGACACCACTGGAAGAGTGCAGAGACAAAATGCAGTAAATTGAGCAGAGAGAAGGCTTTACTTAAGGCAAAGTATACACTTAAAGAAAGGGAAGTACAGGCAATCTCAAGGAGGAACACTTAAAGGCTTAGGTTTCTGTCTTTTAAGGATCTCAAGAATTGGGCAAAGGGCCAGGGGGTATAGGCTTGACATGTGGTCTCTCATCTATCTCTGGTGAGAGAGATTATGTCATCATACATAGTTAGTCCTCTAGATATACTGTAAGATAAATTAACACAAGGAATTTCTTGACCCTGTTCTTCAAGATAGTGGTTACCCTCAAGCAGTGGGAACTTATCATTTAGGACTGCTTGCCCTGCCTTCAGATAGATAGAGTCAATTATTGGCTGATTACCATAAAATAGGCTAGGAATCTTGCCTCCTAACTCCCTGGTTTTAAAATGGAATCTTAGCCTTAAGATAAGAGTCCCTTCTTATTATACTACTTAGATCTCAGCATTTTTTTTCATAGGCAGGAAAAATTAACAATGATGCTTGTCCCATGTCCCTGCTCTACCTCAGTCCCAGATTATGTGATACTAAATAGTTCATGTGCTGACAACTATTCTATTTTGTACTGAAGTAATGTTGAAAGAAACAAAGAAACCCTCATTTTCTCAATCCTAAAATATACACAATAGATTCACTGCAGTGAACACTCTACAGGACAACCACAAGAAGAGGTGAAGATTTGTTTGCATTTTCTTCTTTAGACAGAGGATACATAATGTAAGTACTATTCAAAAGTTACTTAGATTAGTCCTTACTGATTTTTATGTCTTCATGATATTCATTTGAAAAACTATTAGAATCATTTGTTTCTCTTTACACTCACTTTCAAGATTATTTTGCTATTTAAAAAATCCATAGCACTAAATGACAAGACTGATAAATCTGACCATAAACACATTTGACAAATGTGAAAGGAAAATTCTGCAATTTGTGATAGGCAATTTCTTTAAAAAAGCAAATACTTATCACGAATCAATGAAAATATAAACAAACCAAGACACCTACAGAAAGGATGTGAAGCAGTTCATAGAAAAATGACTGATATCCATATGAAAATAATGTGCAAGTACAATAAGTTACCATTTTCAAACATCAGACTGGCAAAGAACAAAAGAGGTATGTGACCCAGTGTTGGCAAGGACAGGAACAGGGACTTACAAAAGTATCTACTAATGGTAGACGTATAAATAAGCACAGTCTTTTTTGAAAAGCAATTTGGTTATATCTATCAAAATTTTAAATGTACTCTCTTTGATCCAGGAATTTGTCTTTTAGGACTTATCCTTCAAATATACTTTCATAAGAATTCAAAGATGAACACATGAAGATATTCCTTTCAGCACTGTAAAAGCAGAAACAAAATACCCTAAATGACTATCAACTGAACATCAGTTAAATTATGATTTACCCAAATAATGGAATATACAGTCATACTCCCATAACTTTTGAAAGCATTTAAGAAATAATTAACCACTGTTAACTCCTGGAGGTGGTAAAAGGTGAGAAAGAGAAAGTTTTTATTTTTTATTTTATCCCTTCTGTATACTTTCAATCTGTCCACTTATTACTTTTATTACTGTTATTGTTTTTAAAAATGATGAGGCCATTTTTAAAAATTTTGTAATGATCATGCATTAAAAATTATGTTTTTTATAATATTTAATAATGTAGGAAAAAAGCATTTACTTACAGCACAGTATCAATTTTTAAACATATGTACAAAAAATAGTAAGAAGAAGAGAACAATAACAGTTATTTCTTAATTGTAATATTATAAGTAAGCTAACTTTTCTTCTTTTGACTTTTCTGCATTTTATAAATTTTCTACTCTGTATACATTATTGCTTATATAATCAGGGAAGAACTGAAAACAGGAGAAAGTTCCATTAAAGGATCTATCAGCATCAGTATAATTTTTTTCTATTAAGCTATTATTTTTAAAAAGTACATTCTATTTTCTTTTAATTAAAAGCATCTTAAGTTTTAACAATCACAGGATTTGTGAGTTTGGAGGGGGCTAGAGTTCAACCAGACTAAAAGTTATACATTACAGATGAGGAAACTGAGCTCCAAAGATCTGGGAAGCCAAAACACAGCTGCGGGAAGGAGCACAGCTTTATGCTACAGAAATGCAGTTTATAGTTTAAAGGCATCCCATCCACACTGATCTATTTTGGTTTACGCTTACCTGCCTTTGCACATGCTGTCTTCAACCCCTAGAACCCAGTCCTTCCAGCATTTTTGCATGGCTAATCCACACCCACTCTTTAACATTAAGCCTGTAAATGGGCATGAGGAATCCTTTCGGAGAGAGAGAACTGGTCTAGATATGGACTGAAATGATAGTTACACAAATATTGAAAATCACCAAATTACACACTTAAAGTGAGTGAATCTTATAGTATGTAAATTATACCTAAATCTGTTTACTTGTTTTTAAAGGATCATGTGCCAGCAACACCTTCTCTAAGAACCCTCCCTCATGACCTACCACGTCCAGTCTAAGCCATACATACCTCTGTCCTGTGCTCCCAGAATCTCAGGCCTCAACTCCAGCACTACATGTACCACTGCCTATGCATGTGTCTGTCTTGCCAAACAATGTGTGCACCCAGCATTTAACACAACACAGGGCATACATGAACTACTCAAATGGTTACTTAATAAATTAATTATCATTAGTCTCTTCTATGTGCTCAGCATGTTGTATACCACTGATAAGACAATGGCTAGAAGAAACGAACCTGGCCGTTAGCCTTAAATTTTTTTTTTGGTATTATTAATATACACTTATATGAGCAACATTGTGGTTACTGGATTCCTCCCCACCACATACCCCATTATAGTCACTGTCCATCAGCGTAGTAAGATGCTATAGAAACACTAGCCTTAAATTTTAATTAAGGAAAAAAAGAAAGGGAATCCAAATTTTATTTGGGTTCCTATGGCTTCAGGAACTTTCACATACATTAATCTTAGTACATCCTGTGTGAAGACACATTTTCCCATGTTTACAAGCAGGGGAACTAAGGCTTAGAGAACCGAAGTAACTTACCTAAGTCACAGAGCAAATAGGATGTCAAACTGGAATCTGTTTGACTTGAACAACACATTCTTTCCACCTAACTGTCCTTTATGTCTACACACACAAAGACAGCACATTTGCACCAGGAGGAACAGTGCAGTTAAAAACACCAGCAGAAAGACAGGGTGTATCATGAGAATGGCAAGAAGACCAGTCTGAACCAAAGCAGTTTCTGTGAAAAAGCAATGGGAAAGACAAGGTGGGCTCTGAACTGAATGCCAAGTGAATGCCAAGCTTTAAAGCTTTACTCTTTAAAAGAAAATTAAATTAGGAAAATTAAGTAGCAAGCCACCTATCAATGAAAGTATTTGTAAAACATGCATCTGACAAAGAACTCATTTATTCGGGGAAAAAAAAGTGTGTGTGTGTGTGTGTGTGTGTGTGTGTGTGTATGTAATTGATGTGCAAGATAA